GATTGGCACAGGATAGAGCAGGGTTTAGGGCTGTTGTACATAGGGTCGCTATAAGTCGCAAACGACTCGATGGCACATAACAACAACAACAAGTTCTCTTTATTATATAAAACTTTTTGCAGTTGATCAACAGTAAACCAAAAGTAAAGCCATTGCCATCAAGTCAGTTCTGACTCAGGGAAACTGGTTAGGGCAGAGAACTAATACATGGGATTTTCAAGACTGTAACTTTTATGGAAGTAGTAAATTGCCTTATCTTTCGCCCATGGAGCTACTGGTGAATACAAAATGCTGAGCTTTGTGTTAGCAGCTGGGTGCTTGATTTGCAGTAAGAATGATTTCTATGCTTTTCTCTCCTTCTCGGTTCTGGCCCCCTATTTATCTGTTGGTGTTGTTATGTGCCATTGAGTCAGACCTGACTCATAGCTGATGATCCAGGATTTTTTCAGAGGCTGTAAATTGCATAACAGGAGATTGTTCCTCTTTCTCCTGTAGAACAGCTGATGGATTCTAATTTAATGCCTTTGGATTGACCTTACCACTAGCCCACCAAAGCTCCTGTTCATCTATTAGTCGTCAGATATCCCAAAAGAACCTCCTAGAGCTAACAGCACTCAGATATCACTTGGTCATAAGAAGTTTGACTCTTTGACGGCAGAAACTTGAGCATCTCAATTAGCTTTTCTGTTCCTCCCGGTGGAGTCATGTGTCTATTTCCCTTTTTGAGTCCTCATATCTTATACCAGGCATCAGTTTCCCCATAAAACCTGCTTCCAGATTAATTTGGAAACAGTCTGAGACTTTCCAGATGCTCATCCACACTCGGGCTTAATATTAGCAAAGTCATCAGCGTGGGCTGTGCAAATGTGTCCAGTTCTCTTAATAGTCCATTAACCCATCTCTGGAAAGAGGCTGGCAGGTTCCTCTGACCAGAGGGTTAGGCATTAAGATCGTATGCCATCTGGTGTTGCAAATGCTGTTTTGAATTTGGATTCCTCAAATTTGTCCAAAATCTCCTCCTAACCCAAGAATCGAGATGCTTCTGTTAGTACCTAATTCATCTGACAGTGTGTCAAGTCTGAGCATGGGCTGTGCATCTGGTTTGATCAGAGAATTTCATTTTCTATGACTGACACAAAATCTAATTACCATCTGGATTTAGAAACCCAGGGGCTCACGTAAGATCCAATAGCTTCTAGGTTTAACAACTCTTCCACCTGTTTCTCTGAAATGAAAAGATTAGAGCAGTTCAGTAAGCACTTTGTGCCTCCTGTCCTGTGAGGAATGAGTCTTGTTGGTGTAGTAGTTGAAGAATTTGACTACTAAACCGAAAAGTTAGTGATTCAAACCCACTCACCACTCCATGGAAAGAAAATACAGCCTGCTTCCCATGACGATGGAACCTACAAGCAGTTAATTCTACTCTGTTCCACAGGGTCACTTTGTTCAGAATCAACTCAACAATCATGCTGGTATCCATTTATTTGAAGTGAGGGCGGTGGTTCTATGATAAAGGAGCCTTTCTTACTATACCTGAAGGTGTAACAGTTAAAATGCTTGGCTGCTAACCTCAAGGTCAGCTGTTGAAACTCCCTTGTACTCCTTGAGAGGAAAATGAAGCTGTCTTCTACTGTTTAAATTGACACCCTTATAATCTTAAGAGCTAGTTCTACTCTAAATCGTCTTGACAGCAGTGGTTTTGGGGTCCTATAAGGATTGAACCAGGTGTGCTCAAAAGTCTATTCCACGTACCCATGTTTATCACAGCTTTGTTCACAATAGCAAGGAGCTGGAAACAACCTAAGTGCCCATCAACAAACGAATGGATAGAGAAGCTCTGGTATATTCGCACAATGGAATACTATGCTGCATTGAAAAACAAGGAACTCATGCAATATTATTCAAAATGGGTGACCCTGGAGGACATTATGCTGAGGGAAATATCTCAGTCACAAAAAAGACAAATACTGCATGGTGCCACTGTTGTAAAACAGGACCGACATAGGGGTTGGGGGGAGACTAAGAAAGATGGGATAAATAATGTATACTGCATTGAAACAGATGAGGGAGAAAACTGTTTAAAAGGGATATGTGATTAGGTGTTATTGTCATGACAGGAGTCCAGAATGAAGGCTGCATCGTGGAGTCGAGTGGGGGGAGGGTTTGTAAAATAATGCAAGAATTTTTCTTTTACTTTTCAAAGAGAAGAGTGGACTTGGGGGGGAAGGGTGGGCAGGGAGAAAAATGCAACAATGAATGAATGGAAACCCAAAGTTTGTAAATTTTCATTGAAATTAATAATAATTTTTTTTAAAAAAAATCTATTCCAGTTTCAAAATTCTACACTTCTGTGCACTTTTCTAATTCAACCTATGTATTCCCTCTGGCTTAAGAGTGCAAAATTTCTCAAACGTGCGTCTATTGACATACTGGTTTTTTTATTTGAAATTGGGGTTTTTTTTAAATTTTAAGTGACTTCTTATTCTTTAATTTTTTTATTTACATTTTATTTCATCCACATACACTGTTTTCTACAAAATCCTTCTTTCCCATTGTGCTTCATGTAACCACTCATACACTGTAGTTCATATAAACAATCACTATTGATCTATGCCTATTATCACCGATCTTTTCGAGTTCCCACTGAATATTTCCTATTCCTTCATGTCCCCATGTGCCCACTAATCTCTGCTATTCCAGTGATCCCTACCTTTCCCTTTTTTCTGATCCCTCCCTCTCTCTGTCTCCTGTTGCTATACCCTTGTTATTATCAGCCATCAAGTCAGAACTAACTCATAGCTGACCCTCTTTCAAGGTTTCAGAGGCTATAAATCACATAAGAGATTGCTCATCTTTGAACTGCATGCCTTTGGGATTGCAGTTCAGCGTCTTACCACTAGACCGCCAGAGGCCCCTCCCTGCCTGCTAAGGGAGTTCATAGGAGAGCTTGTGGCTAAAAGCCTGGCCGTAAACTATAAGGTTGGGAGTTCTCTCAATGGGAGAAAGATGAGGCAGTCTATTTCCATAAAGACTTAGATCCTTGGGACCCTGTGGAGCAGTTTTTCTCTGTCCTTGTTGTTAGGTGCTGTCCAATTGACTCATAGTGACCCTATGAACAAAATATCCGAATCCTATTCTACCCTGTGCCATCCTCATACTTGCTGACACACAAGATCCCATTGCAGCAGTCACCATGTTAATCCACCTAGTTGAGGGTCTTCCTCTCCCTCTCTGACACTCCACCCTTCCCAACATCATGTCCCTGTCCAAAGAATAACACCTCCTTGCAACATGTCCAAAGTATGTGAGGCGAAGCCTCATCAGTCTTGCCTCCAAAGAGCACTCTGGATGCACCCTCTCTAACACATGTCTGTTCATTCTCTTGGCAATCCACGAGATGTTCAGTGCTCTTCTCCAACACCACAGTTCAAAGGCATCAATTCTTTTTCTGTCATCCTTTTTCATTTTCCAGGTCTGAGATGCATAACAAGTGATCAGAAAGACTATGGCCTCAATCAGATGCACCTTAGTCTTCAAATTGACATCATTACTCCTCAATAATTTGCAAAGATCCCTAACTGCAGATTTTTCCAGTGCAATGTGTCTCCTTATTTCCTGACTGCTGGTACCAAGGGTATTAATCCTAGAGGGTAGCTATAAATCAGAACCACCTCAATGGCACAAAACTCCATGGAAATTCAATTTCTGGTCACTGCTAGCAGCAATCCCTCTTCCAGGGATTCTCTTCCTCATCTTTATTATTCCCTTCCTTTTTCAGTTGTAGCTAAGTTTATTATGGTGACCACATGAATAATTCATCTCAGTTCAACAAATATTCATCAAAACACTACTACTTACTGAATGGAAAAAACTCCAGTAAAGTATTGAAACATTAATTAACCTTCGTGTTCTGCCTTACAATGTGCTACAAATATATTGAGCATTAAAGTTTCCACAAGAACAATGCATACATAGTTCAGTGGGAATACAAAGTCAGAAGAAAACAATTCTGATCAGGAAGCCAAGGAAGGTACTGTAGAGGAGTTGGCATGGGTCCTCAAAAGATGTTATAGAAGGTCCAACAGAAGTCATGGTGTGGGAAAAGGCATAGCAATAGCAAGAGCTCAGGTGTATTTAGTGTTTCGTATTTATACAGATACAGACTATTGAAGACTTGGTCCTCATTGCTTTGGACTATTAGCACTTCATTTCCTTTTCCTCCCTCCTTCTTCTGTCTTTGGCAGATGTGCATACTCGAGTGTGAAGAGAAGATCTTCCCCAGCCCTCTCTTGACACCATGCACCCAGATCCTGAACAAAAGGTCCTGGCAGCTGGCTCCCACTGACCCAGAGCACGAGACCACGGCCCTTCATCAGCCACAAGCGCCGGAGATGGAGAACCTGAAGCGCATGCCCCGCATCCGGAGCCTAATCCAAGCGCAGGAAAACACAGAGCCTGGCATGGAAGAGGCTGACGAGATGAAGCAGAAGCAGCTGCAGAAGAGGTTCGGGGGTTTTACTGGGGCTCGGAAGTCAGCCCGGAAGTTGGCCAACCAGAAGCGGTTCAGTGAGTTTATGAGGCAGTACCTCGTCATGAGCATGCAGTCCAGCCAGCGCCGGCGCACCTTGCACCAGAATGGTAATGTGTAGCCGGAAGGGGAGCCCCTCCCAGCTGCACCGTCCACTTCAACCCATGAGTGAGTTGGGCGCAAATGAGCTGGGGACAAGAAGAAACCCCATCCACCCCACCGTCTTAGTCTCCATTTCAGTCCTAGAAGAAGCACATTGGTGCTCCCCCCAGCAACACACCCCACCCCACCCCCACACTGTAGAGCATCAAGGAGCTCAGCTCTTGTGGGGTCTACACGTAGAGTCTTCTCTTTCCCTCCTAAAGGGAGGACTCATCACCCACCTTTGCTCTAAGGAGCAAAGATTTGCCTCAGATTGCTCCTTAAGGCTGGCCACTCCCATTTAAGGCTTGGTTACCATGGAGATAATAGTAGTTTGTTAAGATAACTAATTCTTTTATATCACTCCAGGAGCTTAGTTACTATGGGGACAGTTAAGTGGACCAATCCTCCCATCCAGTTTCCATAGCAACCATTCAGGTCACCTTTCCTCAGAGACTTTATCTCCAAGAACCAATAGCTGGACCTACTCTTAGTCATTCTCGGAGTGTGATTACTGTGGTTATGATGTTGTTATTTCATCTTCAAAGCCTGCTTATCTATTTTTTTCCCACCCATTATATTTCAAGGTGACAGGATTCCACGAACACCATTAAACTTTCACATTTTCCCTTAGTCAAGGAGTTCGTGCTGGGGTCACTCAGTAGTTATGCTTGCTGCTTTTCTTAGCCTAGTAAGCCACTTGCCAGTCAGGGACAGAATCGGCTGATCTCTTGTGGCTGATAGCAGTGTCACTAAGCAAAGCCGTGAGAATTTGACCCAACTGGCATAGTAGTTTTTAGAATATAGACTAAGGGACCCAACATCCTTCCTTACTTTCAACTTCTTTCCATTTTGTTTGCCTTTATTCTCCCCCCATTCTTCCTTAATCTCTCTATTTTCTGGTTCTAGCCTCAAGTGAATGCTTAGAGAAGTACAAACAACACAAATTACCCAGTCTTTACAAACTTTGTTTTCCTTAGCCATCAACTAACATATGACTTTGAGTGGCACTGGGAAATAGCACAAAGAAATCTAAAATTCTCAAAAGATGAAACGATCACACACATGTGCCTTAATTTGTATGTGGGGAGTATGATTTCATCTATAGAGATTCATGCTGTTGTTGTTATTGTTGTGTACCATCAAGTCAGAACCAAGCCATACCTGACTTTTCAGATGATTTTCAGAGGTAGTAAGTCACATGAGAGGAGAGTGCCCTTCTTTCTCCCACAGAGCAGTTGGTGGATTTGAACTGTGTACCTTTGTGTTCACAGTGCAATTCCTTACCACTAACCCCCAGGGCTCCCTGCAGAGTCTCTTACCTCCCCTTAAATTGCCTAGAAATATGACCTACTGTAAAGAATAAGTCAGTCCACCAAAATAATCCTTAAATTACCCAAGTAGGGCTTTTCCCTCACACTCAAGGACATAATTTTTTAAAACCTATAAGTTCTGCTTTGTTTTACTTGCCATAAGTCAAAAGTAGTCAAACCATTAGTAATCCTCCTTCAAGTATATTAATTCCTGTGTTAACCTCTGGTCAGGCATGGGGGCAGAGCTCTTTGAAAGTGACTATTTGCAGGTAAACAAACTGGATTGCAGTAGGCTCATTGCCAAATATGGATGTATGTATTAAGTGGCAAGGAGAAGGTTGCTGTGTTTATTTTAACAGAATGGCTAATCTCCAAAGGCCCTAAATTAACCTCATTTTTTAAAAAGTCATATTCTTGGATCCTTAACAAGTATTCCGTTTCTTCCTAAGCCCTATCTGCACAGTACCTCATAGTAAATCTTTTTTAAGAAGCCTGTATTTAATTTTTTCAACTCTTAAAGGCATTCTTCTTTAAAGTGGCTCTTAGGGGACAATGAAGCTCATGTCTAATTCTGAACTAGAACAATTTTCTTTACCCAAAGACAGTTGAAAATCAGTCACCCTCGCAGGAATCAATTTATTTCAAAAGGCCATTTGCACCCCTCTTCAGGCAATTGGTTTTTCTAATTATCTATTATGCTTCCAACTAAGATAGGCTGAAGCAAAGCTGCTAACAAGCTTCTGTCTGTTGCTTTGCTCAAGATGGAAGCATTAACCAACTCATTTGGGTGTGATTGATTGCTCTTCTTTCTCCTTCTGCAATCATCTCTCCGTGTCCTATCTTCTCCATGCATTCTTGATAGCTGAGCCCTAACATGGATATGTATTTATGAGACTAAAAGAGACAGCCTTATAATTATTGCCATTTCACCATTGGGGATTTCCTGCTATCAAAGTTATTCTTGACTTCTAAGATGTCAAAAACAAACCTACCCATCTATGTTTCCTCCCAAGTTATAGAGGTAAAAAGAATGGGGCCCCCTACCACTGAAATGGGATCACGAACTGTATTCACAAAGTGTGATGATGGCCTAGGATGGAGGGTTAGGGCGTAAAACAAGCACTAGTCAGACCGTGAAATGGACATGGCTGCACTGGTATCTTTCTTCCTTCCCCTGACCCTTGGACCACTCTCCTCTCTTCCATGGTCTAAGTATAGGCCGTTCTAGTAAGAGAAAAGGGAGATTTATTCAAGTTGAGATATGACTGAAGTTAGGCCTAAAAAGCACTTGTGAAATAAGAGAACAGTAAATTTATACTACTGTTTAGGCTAAAGAAATTAATTGCTAAACATGAAATTAAAAATGGCAGGGATAAGAGGAACCATTTCTGGGCAGCAGGCAAGCCCACCTACCACTATGCTTTTCAAGTCACAGTCCACACATCTCCCTTTATTCTATTAGAACTGACAATATCTTGGGAACAGATGTGCAGGGAGATTTAGGGCTAAATCTCTCATGCTACTTTAAGGAACCTCTCATACTATTTGGGTTGAGAATTTTGAGTTTTTGGTTGGTTGTTTTTGTGTTTTGTTTTGTTTTTTACTTCTTTTTGACCATTTCAGTAACATAATATCAAATACAGACAGATAGAATAGAAGAGTCAGAGAAAGTATTGAGTTTGCCATTTTAATAACTTCTGTCTCCTCAGGTATCCGGTTGACCCCTAAAACAGCATGTCTCCAGCCCCAGACCTGCCGGCAGGGAATCAGGATTCCTCTCTCCCCAAGGCACTGAGCATCCACAGGCGCTCTGGGATATGCCTCCAGGCCTCCATCCCCAGGGAGGACTCCTTGATTGTCCCACCGTCTCCCCCATGGCATGTTTCACGACACCCCTGTTGCTACATCAGAGTGTATTTTTGTAACTTCTCCCGCTAACATTTCAATGGCCCCACCTTTCCTCCTCACCTGCCTCTTCTATTCAGCGCAGGCTAAAGGAATATGACCAATCAAATACAAGCCTGGGGTTCTGACTTGTCACTGCCATAACTTGTTTGTAAAGAGTTGTTCTTTTTGACTGAATGTTTTCAATATTTCCCCATTAAACTTCTATTGAGCAAATGATTAATAAATGGATTTGCTGCTGTAATGAAGCAACTGAAAGCACATATTCCACATGTACAATTAGAGATTCCTCTTACTGGAAGGCAGAGGCAAGGGGCTGCTGTATATGAAGTATGACATACAAGATACACAAGCATGCACACCCCAATCATACTGGGTTGCTGGATCCAAGCAGAGTAAGTGGGGGGGGGCGAGGGAAATAAGTGCATATCCTGCTGTGTGGACTGGATGGGTAGGGTGGAGGAAGGCAGTGGTTTCCCAGACTCCAGTGTGCATCAGAATCACAGGGAGGGCTGACTGTGGAATCCCAGGTTCTGTTCAGTAGAAATCTGCATCTCTAGCAAGTCTTCAAGGAGCTCTGGTGTCCTAGTGGTGAGAAGCTGTGCTGCAATCCTGCACTGTAATTCAAAAGGTACATGGTTTGAATCCACCAGCTGCTCTGCAGAAGGGGGAACAGTCTCCTCCAGTGCATTTTTCTGCCTCTGAAAACCCACTGGAGTATCAGCTATGGGTCAGTTCTGACTGCAGCTCACAAGAAGTCTCCAGGTGAGGTAAATCATTCTGGCTACACACTTTATTTTGGGAACCACTGTATTTACAACTGAGGCAAAGTGTGGAGTCAAAACATAGCTCCTGATATCACTTTTATCTTCAGTGTGTTAAGGGCTACATCTACCAAGGTTCAGAGAAGAAACAGGGCCCCTCAAAGGAAGCACACACATGGTTCAAAGCCACCAGCTGCTCCGTGAGGGAAGGATAGACAGTCTTCTCCAGTGTGACTTACTGCTTCTGAAAACCCAATGGAGGGTCAGTCTTGAGTTGGTTCAGACTCAGTGGTACACAACAACAAAAAATGAAGTAAATGAGGAAAATCAAAGTAGACAAAGCTATAGGAAATTAGTACAGATCAGTATAGGTAACGTACTTCGTCAGGGAGCTGCTGTGGGAGAAGGAAACATTAAGATCCCACTGAGAACTGTGGGTCTCTGTAGCTTTTAGAGAAAAACATACTAACATACTGTGCTAGGAACCCAAGGGCTCGATTCCATTTTCTCTCCTCAGTCAATCAAGCTCCCACCTGGTGCTTCCTGCTGCATGACCAAACTCAACCACCAAGCATAATGTTAGGGCATCTGTTGATGTAACAAATAAGTTTCCGAGTACAGACTGTATACGAATTTGGCACAAAGGCAATTAATTTTATTTTCAGGTTTCCTCAACTTGCAATAGAGGCAGTTTCTTCTCCTTTCTTAGGGAGCACTGGTGGCCTTGTGTCAAGTAACTGTGCTGCAATCCCAAAGGCACGTGGTTCGAATTCACCAACTGCTCCATAGGAGGAGAATGGGTAACCTCCTCCCATGAGACTGACTGCCTCTGCAAACCTGCCAGAGAGTCAGCTATGGGTCGGTTCTGAGTTGGAGGTATACAACAACAGGATAAAGGGGCAAGGAAGAATGAAAATTGGAAGAAGTCCTCCCACACACGATTTCAGACATAGGGAACTGACTAGATTCGGTCTTCAACCAGTTTCAGCATCTCCTCA